ACATACAGACATACAGACAGATGAAATGGATTGCAGAATCGTCGGTATGAGGCAGGCAACAGATTAAGCGGGGTTCAAAGGAGATGGCCACTTGATAACTGTCACGGGACTTGAAAAAGTTGCAGTAACCAGAAGAAGTGGAGAGCGGAGGAGCAGTTAAAAGGAGATAAGAGCAGCAGCAACGTGGCCCGATGGGGGGCACAATGTGCCGATGGAGTGACGAGGGGACCTACAATGTCATGGAGGCGATGCAAGAAGATGGCTCGGCTGGGCAGTCGATGGGAAGAGGGTGAAGAGCATGTCTCAAAGTGGGAGTTCGACACAAACAATACCCCCATTTGGATACAGACCGGCCTTGTCTGCGAGAGGCGTCCGGTGAAAGCGTTCCAAAAAGTCCACACGTCCCACCCTGGACGGCGCGGCCTTCAAATGGGAAATGTACCAAAAAGCAGAAGCAAGCAGACTGGTTGTGCCAAGGAATGAATACGTATTCGCAGCAGATTGGTCACATTCTCTTGTCTGTTCACTTTTTTTCATTCCATTTCAGCACAAACATTCGAGTCTGGTGTATTCTGCTGGGCATACTTTTTGTGTCCGGCCAAAGTGAAATGGCCAAAGGGTCTCGGCTCTGTCGGCCGTGACAACTGATAGTGCAAGTACAAAAGACCCGATCAAACCCATGCTTGTGATTCACCGGACGCGGCTGCCAAGGGCAGGCTGGTGCTTGGATACGAAGTCGCGAAAGCAACGCCAGATTGCTTCTATCAAAGCGAAACGAAACGCTTACTTTTGCACCGGCAAAGCAAACTGTAAATGCGGTCGGAGGCAATCCTAAAGCTTCTACGGGCGAAGGGAAGCTCGAACGTAATTTCCGAAAGATCGTGTGAACACAGTTTCTAGCAGAAGACCATTTTAAAGTTATAATTGTGTAGAAGCTAAAAATCTTTGTAACAGTTTAGTTAAACCAGAAGCGTCGGGCTGACACGTTTTCGACAAATAATTATTCAAAAAGTGATTAAACAACGTATTTCTTACATGAAATGTAGAATTTTCACACAATCTGATGAGTAGAGCCGACGTTTCTATTGAATTTCACAGAGCCTTGCTCTTTCCAAAAGTCGTGGACGTCAGTTTCGACCTCGCCTCGGTCTTATCAACACCCCCGACGGTGGTAGAACCGTGACGGTGCAGCATGTAACCCCTCAGCCGCGTTACAGGGTCGATGTGAATTTCAAGCAAGGCCAGGCCTACTCCCATACCACATTCTTCGGTGGGATTGTCGATG